TCTTAGTTCAATTGTTTTGAAACATTTAATTTTTAATTAATTAGTATTTAATTTTCTGAATATTGCTTAATCTTAATTTTTGTTCTAAGATTTATAGTATATCTTTGACTTACGATTTATTTAAAAGACATTGTATGATATCTTCTAGTATTAGAAACTTTAAAAGTAAAAAAAAAGAAAGAAAAAAAGAAAGGTGGCAGGAAGAAGATCACTGATACTTGCTTTTCCCTTTTTGTCATATAAACACCAAGTCATATCTCTAGGAGGAAGAGCATTGTACATTTAAGTGCTACAAGATGGTAAGAGCCTATGAAATGAGGAATAACATTAGTAGAAGCTATACTGATTAATGTGTGTTATTGTGTGACATGTGTAGTCAGCTGTATGTCGCTGACAATACCAGACACAGGAAAGGTTCAGTTTGATTCACAGTTTAGTCCATTGTTGGCTGGCTACAAACAAGAACATCATGGTAGAATGGTGTGGTGGAGGCACAGTGCTCACCTCATGGTAGCCACAAAGCAGAGAAAGACTGAGTGACCCCTTGATGGGGAGGGGCCAAGGGTAAAGCGTTAATCCTCCAGGTCATGTCCCCATGACCAACCCGGCACACCCGGAAGCAAGCGTTACTAATGTCCTAGGCACCTCAAGTTGACAATCAAGACTAACCATCACAGCACAGTTTGCAAAATCACTTTTAGATAATATTTAAGCTTCCTTTTCTTTATGTCCTAGTTGACACATTACTATTCTTAGATAATTATCATGGAACAAAGACTTCTATGGAAGTTTCCTATTTAAGTTATTTCTTTTCCTGAATGGGTAATTCCATTAATGGGTCTCAGTGAAATTCCAATAAAAGTTTGAGAAAATTGATCATTATAACAATTCCTCTCTATGGAAGAAAAAAAAAATAGAGCTTGCATTTATTCAGCACATATTATATCCAAACACTGTTAAGCAGTTTCAGAGGTACTAAAAAATCCTGCTCAATCACCATCATAAATAAACAGTCTTGGGTCATAAATGATGAATGACATAAGTCAGAAACCAAGTTAAATATCACATGGT